ATTTGTTGTTGTAATTGGGATTTTTCATTCGCTAGTTGCGTAAGAGAATTATTAGCCTGGTCCAAGTCGGTTTTTTTTGGCTAATTTTGTTTCTCAATCAGTTAAATTATCACCGAGAATATTTTTGAGGGCAGTTAAATTTTTACCCAGGGCGTCTTTATCCTTGCTTAACTCTTCCAACTGCTTAATTAATTCAATACTGTCTTCTTGTAGAAATTCGATTAGCACTTTTTTTTCCCTCTCGCTTAAATAAATTTGTTCCTCCTCTAACCGCGGTTTTCCGCGAATATCTAAAATATAATTAGTCACTTTGGTGGAATAATCGAAAATTTCCCCTAATGTTTTTTTGGCTGAGAGTTTTTCTCCTCAATTCGGTTCGGGTAATTGGCTGTTTTGAAGAGGTACCTCTCCTAGTTCACCAAACATAAAGGATTGGATTTTTTCAGCCAATAATATTTTGGTTTTTTTGTAAAGTGAATTAGCTTCCATAGTGTCTTATTAATTTTAAATTTTTTTCCATTCTGCCATATTTATTAATGATTATTTGTTTTGTATGTTGTAGGCGTATACGTATATATAAAGGTAACTATATAGTATTTTTAGGAAAAAAATTTTGCGTCTAATAACAAAGCACTAAAATTATATAAATAAGAAGTATGAATAATTATCAAAGAATTGAATTGCCCTATGAACTTAATGAATTAGAATGGGTTATTTCTTTCAAAACCATGTATTATCATTACAATATTCTCCACAAAAATTACGAAGTCAAACTTTTGGAAACACTGCGGGGGACTGAAATCCCTGAACAATTTTCTACTCTGGAAAACTTAATGGAAAATTTGGAGAAATTGCCAGAGGAAATAAAAAATGACGTGCGTTTTTTTGGGGGTGGATTAATTAATCATAATTTTTTTTTCGCTCACCTGACTAAATTTAAACCCGAGCAAAAAGCACGTGAACTGGCGGGGAAAGTTAACCCCGATTTGCTAAATCTTATTCAAGAAAAGTTTGGCAGTTTAGAAAAATTAAAAAAAGAATTGGTAAAAAGTGCCTTAAAAGTGCGTGGGAGTGGTTGAACTTGATTGGTGCTGAATAAGAAAGGAGAGTTAAAAATTATTAATACTGCTAATCAGGATGGGCCTTGGTCTTTACATTTACGGCCGCTAATTGCTATTGACGTTTGAGAACACGCTTATTATTTGGATTATGGGGCTAATCGCAAAGAGTATGTGGAAAAATTGCTTGAGTTTCTTTTGAATTGAGAATATATTAGTCAGAGTTATCTTGATTATGTTGGTGTAAAGTAAAAAATTAATTATAGCTGTGAAGTGCTTATAGTTCAAAATGACAAAAAAAATTATTTCTTTTCGGTTAAAAGACCAAGAACAAAACCCAAAAATCAAAGAAGGAGAATTGGTAGGAATTCCTATTCAATCATGTCACGACCTCATTTGGGGAAATTGCGGTTATTTGCTAGTTTCCAACGATAAAGAGGCGATTCAATTTTTGGAAAAAGAAAGAGACGAACCTCATTATTTTCAATTAGAAACCGAAGTTCGAGCGGAAGGACAATTCATGGAAGATGTAATTTCTGACGAAGGAAAAAAATTAGGGCAAATAGGCAAAGAAAGATGATATGTTGAAGACCCCAATTGAGGCGACAAAATTAAGATGTTTTACTACGGAGAACTTAAATATTTTGTCCCCACGAATATAATTGAAAGTCAAAATAATTTGGGTCATGTTTTATTAAAAGGATAAAAAGTAAGATTAATATGCAACTCCTTATAATTTGGTCTTTTATTGGGGTCAGCATCTCAACACTTTTTAATTAAATCCACCAATAACTGA